GGACAGAGAGTAATGCGAAAGGAGAGAGAAAGGCTTCCCTGTGTTGGACCAGCTTAAAGCAGCCTGATGTCCAGAGTACACTGCTGGTTTAGGAGATACCAGGTCCCAATCATACATGACCGACTGGAAGTGTGCTGGCCAATGTCACCTTGGTGACTAATGTTCCCTTATCCCACATTACTCTTCAACATGTGTAGAAACCAGTTCTGCCTGAACAGTGCTCATAAAGGAAGGAGCAAGATTGTTTGAGAAATTATTCTTCACTTACTGTGAATTCAACTCGATGTTTCCGGCCCTTGTGAGCTTTTCTTGAGACTTCATTATGTTCCACTGAAATAAAAAGATTCTTGTGTCCCTTAGAATATATGAATACTGTAATAAATTACTTTATCACCGTGAAAATATTTTAACCTTTGAATCTGTTACACATGGTGATAGAGATACAGAAACAAACTTCAACTGGTGTATCAGCAGCAAAAGGAAGATTAGACTTACGAGACTGCCCTGGAATGGGGAAATGACCTAACAAAGGATGTGGAGAAGGCAGAGGTTCTCAGTGCTGTGACCAGCAGCACAAAGTCTAGCTGGAGGCCAGTCACTCCCCAGTGGTGCCTTCGAAGTCCAGTCGTTCTGCGATTCAGCTTTTAACCAGCCCCAGAAATCTGAAGGCAAATAATGAATAACTGCCACTGTATGTTTCATTTGGACTACCTCAAATTCAAAGCAAAGCAAGCAATGTTAAGACAAAAAGAAATTAGGTGCTCTTGCACCTTGTCCAGCCAAATTACACTCCTTTTCCACCTTGGAAACTTCCTAATCAAAATGTATTTATGTGTTTTAACCTTTCTTTCTGTAAAAAAACTTATACATACCCCAGTTTTTCATTATCCTTCCAGTAATTCAGAGGCAATATTCCAGGCACAGTCCTCTTATTTTTTCACATTTTACAAAGATAAGATTAAATACAAAATAAGAAGTTATTTACTTTTCCATTGTTAATCTAGACCATTTCACATTCTTGTTTAATTTACTATTCACTGCTAAATCTAAGCCTCTTTCAGCTTTCATGTTACTTTCCTGAGTGTGAGTATATCTCCCCCTGTACTCCCACCCCCCAAGTTATTATACTTTTCCTACACTGTGTTTCTAATTAACATATCATCAGTGGGCAGAGTTAAAAGGGAATTGGCATGCTATGTGATCTAGTGAGTGAATTGGAGGATGGAAACAAAGACAAATATTTAAGTGGTAAAAATAGAAATAGTAGTGGGACGGTGGGGTTTGGAGAAGGAGACAGAGAGCAGTGGGATCTTTGCTGTATATGGTCAAGGATAAACATCAGAACAAACAAATAAGCATTGTGCCTCAGGAGAGAATAACAATTTTTTTGTTAGTCTTAACCCTGTAGAAAACAACGGATTTGTTAATAATATGAAGGTAATTGCTCAGGGACAGCATATATGAGTAAGCAGAAGGCAGGAAAAGATAATAAGCATATTATGATTTTTAGTCTAGTTATCAGAGAAACATTAAGTCATAAATAAGAGCTTAAAATAAAGGAAAACCGCAAATGTAGGACAGTACTATTCCTCTTGACAAATGGTCTGATAAAGACATTATAGTCTTATTGCTTGAATGATTTCCAGAGGTTACTCTAGTGTTTTTATATCATTTAGTACTGTAGAATAATCAAGTGATCTTTGATTTTCTTGAGGAATAAGATTAAGGAAATAGCATTGCAGATGTCTTTTCCAATCTAGATGCCTCATTTCATACATTTTTTTTTAATTTTTACCAATATATCTCTGAGTTAGGCTGTTGAAATGTAGCATTCAGTTCACACTATGGAATATGTAATATTTTTGTTACCAATCAAAAATTTGGTTCCAGCTTAATGGCATAAGAAGTGTTCATTGTTGTAGGGACTTTAATTATCTGTTTCCACTTGCTAATAAAATTGCCAGCTTGATTTTAAATTTCTCTTTGAGAGAGGCATTTATAGCCTTATATAGATACATAGTATTTCAAATGTGAAATAAGTCATATT